CAATAATTTAGTCAAAAGTGGTTGAAGAATTTGCCTTATAGCAACATGAAACACAAATTTTCACTTTTAATTTAATTTGACTTTTCCTTTTTTTTGTAAAAATCTTAGAGCAGAAAGACAAGGTAAAACTGTTCTGAAAGTAAAAACCAACAAACATTTCCTCCTGACATTTCTGGTTAGTTTGCATGTTCTCCACACCAGTTTACCTCCTCTGAACAAAAACATGCATGTTAGATTTATTAGTCNCAGCCTGGATTTTTCTAAAGCCTGTAGTACCACCGGGAAAAGCAAGAGGACTCTTTTTTCCTCCATAGCTTACCTGTCTAATCTCAATCTGTCAGGAGATGGTGACAGAGTGAACAAATATGTTAAAAATATATTTTTAGAAAAGTTACATACTGCACCTTTAACATGAGATGTGGTTTTAACAGCAGCTCTTGTTGACATTATTTGGAGAGTGTTTTATTTAATAAAAGTTCAAAAGGACACATCAATGACTTTTGGTTCCTTTTTTTTAGCATTTAAAGCGCTGCTTCTCTGATGATCAGTTGCTGTTTTTTTATGTGTCCTGCGGGTGACTCAGAATGTTGCCCGTGGGCACCGCGTTGGTGACCCCTGTCTTACAAGTTACAAGTTCTGTTATACAAAACACAAATACTTTTGATACATAAATATGTTGATAAAAATACACCTGGACCAGTCCTTCGGTTTGTCTGTGTCTCTTTCCTGTCCCTCAGCTGGTCGAGGCAGATGGCCGCTTGTCCTGGTTCTGGTTCTGCTGGAGGTTTCTTCCTGTTAAAAGAGAGTTTTTCCTCCCCACATATGCTGGTCAGGATGGGAGACTGTGATGAAGTGAAGATTTAACACAATCTGCTGGCTTCTTTAGATTTAGTGACTTTTTTGTGTACAGTGCCCTGAGGCAACAATTGTGATTTGGCTCTATATAAATAAACTGAATTGAAAAATATTTGACAATGTTCCTCATTGGTGAATGATGCCAAAAGACCACTTCTCATGTTTTAGAACTGTCACTTTATGACATTTATTTTCTCATGTTGTTTGACGTAGCTGGAGAGGATTTCACTACTAATGTTTTAACTGCCTTGTTGGTTGTCTGTGGATTTATTTTCATTAAAAAATCCATAAACTGAGAGATAAATAAGTTTTGAGGCTCAGATTCCTCCTGCAGAGGTCAACCTGAAGTTGAACATGTTTTACTTCCGTCTTCTGAGGCTCAGAGTGTGTGGGGTTTTACATTCTGGCTCATGAAGAAAGAAGTTCAGAACAGTTCTCTGTTCGTCTCTCAGCAGATCTGTGTTGGTTTCAGTCGACTCAGTCTCCTGAACCTGATCATGGATCTGCTGTGGATGCTGCTGCTGATGGTTCTGGTCTGCTCAGAAGCTGAGAACCTGACAAAGGTCAAAGGAGAACTGGGTCAAGACATTATTTTAAACTGTATCTTTAACTTCAATGATGTGTTCTGGTACATGAAGATCCACCATAAGTTCAGAGCAGGAATTGGATAAACTTACTCTTCAACATCTAGCAAATATTTTTCTCCTGACTTTAAATCCGACGTCCGTCCATTTTCTGCCGCTTATCCGGGCTCTGGTTGCAGGGGCAGCAGCCTAAGCAGAAAGACCCAGACTTCCCTCTCCCCAGCCACTTGGGCCAGCTCATCCAGGGGAATCCCAAGGTGTTTCCAGGCCAGCTGAGAAACATGGTCCCTCCAGCGTGACCTAGGTCTTCCTCTGGGCCTCCTCCCAGTGGGACATGCCTGGAACACCTCAACAGGGAGGCGTCCAGCAGACATCCTAACCAGATGAGCCACCTCAGCTGGCTCCTCTCGACGTGGAGGAGCAGCGGCTCTACTCTGAGTCCCTCCTGGATGACTGAGCTTCTCACCCTATCTCTAAGGGAGAGCCCAGACGCCCTGCGAAGGAAACTCATTTCGGCCGCTTGTATCCGCGATCTCGTTCTTTCGGTCACTATCCAAATTTCGTGACCATAGATGAGGGTAGGAACGTAGACCGACTGGTAAATTGAGAGCGTCACCACGACAGACCGGTACAGCACCCGCATCACTGCAGATGTAGCACCAATCCGCCTGCCGATCTCCTGCTCCATTCTTCCCTCATTCGTTAAGATACTTAAACTCCTCCACTTGGGGCAGGACCTCCTCCCCGACATAGAGGCGGCATGCTACCAGTTTCTGGCTTGAGACCATGGTCTCAGATTTGGAGGCACTGATCCTCATCCTGGCCGTTTCACACTCAGCTTTGAATCGCTCCAGTGAGAGCTGGACATCACGATCTGATGAAGCCAATAGGACCACATCATCCGCAAAAAGCAGAGATGTGATCCTAAAGTCACCAAAACGGATCCCCTCGACACCTCGGCTGCTTCTAGAAATTCTGTCCATAAAAGTTATGAACAGAATCGGTGACAAAGGGCAACCTTGGCGGAGTCCAACTCTCAATGAAAATGAGTCCAACTTACTACCAGCAATGTGGACCAAGCTCTGGCACCGGTCATACAGGGACCTAACAGCCCGTATCAATAGGCCTGGTACCCCATACTCCCAGAGTACCCCCCACAGGAGTCCCAGAGGGACATAGTCAAACGCCTTCTCCAAGTCCACAAAAACATGTAGACTGGTTGGGTGAACTCCCATCCACCCTCCAGGACCCTGTTGAGGGTGTAGAGCTGGTCCGCTGTTCCACAACCAGGACAAAAACCACACTGCTCTTCCTGAATCCGAGATTCGACTATCCGACGGACCCTCTTCTCCAGAACCCCTGAATAGATCTTACCAGGGAGGCTTAAAAGTGTGATCCCCTTATAGTTGGAACACACTCTGCGGTCCCCCTTTTTAAATAGGGGGACCACCACCCCGGTCTGCCAGTCTAGGGGAACTGCCCCCGATATCCACGTGATACTTTTGTAGAGTCGCTGACTATAAATCCAAATATTTAATCCAGGAAAACAGACTTGTGATTAAACTGTTGACAGCAGAGGACAGCAGGCTTTACTTCTGTGGAACAAACACAGAAGGTGATAATGTTTGGAGACACGATTCACCAAAACATCTCAGGTAAATATCACTGATTTCTATTTTAGTACTTCAAACTATTTGATTTAAAATTTTGCCTCAGTAAACGTTCCTTACAGCAGAAACTTTTCACATATTTTAGACCAATGTTTAGCCAGTATGTCTGAGTTAAAATTTTATTTAGTTTTACTCTGAAACATCTGAGCATCAGAAACATCTGCATTCTGTAAAAAAATAATCTAGCTGAAGTCTGGTCCAACACCACGGTCAGGTTTTCAAAAGGTTTGTTGAAAACACTTGTGTTGGTTTTGTTCTAAATAAAAATATTGTATGTTGAAAGATTGAGACTGAAAGGCAAAATCTGGTGGCAATTATGTTTTTGTCCTTTCTCTCTGTCTGTTAGCAAAATGTTTCATGAACAAACTAGGAGATATGTTTTATTGAAACTTAAAATAATCACTGGATGTACAATTATAACTGATTATAGTTTGAGGAGCACAAACAGCTAAAATACATCAAACTCCACCCCATGTTCATTATAAACAGGTCATGAAGATACACGACTGTTTCAGATGTGGATCTAATAAACACCTTCCTAATAATAGAAACTTCTCTACTTATAAAATAAAATGTGATAAACACAAGAAAATGCAACAGTTTGCCAAAGAACGCAAATCAGCTGAATGCTGCAGTGAGAAAAGTGTTTGTTGCATGAACAGGGATATAGTGCAGTGAATAATATTCAATTAGTTGGATTCTGCTCTCTAAATATTGTTGTTCTGAGTTCTTATTGTTTGCATGTTTGTCACGTCACACTGTTTATATACAGTATAACTCAGTCATGAGTCAAAAGAAATGTAGCCATTGTACCTCTAGTCCACACCTTCTTGCACATCACCAAAGTGACCACAAAGTGGTCTGTTTTAGTCAGTAAAGTCAGACGTAGTCAGACTTACAGAGACCACAGGTCTGACTTCCTCTGAGACTTGTTTTAGTGTTTGTGTTTCAGTTAAAATAAGAAAGAACCTCCTCTAAACAGGAAGTAAACCTTTGACATGTTTTACATCAGGTCTGTGTTGGTTTCAGTCGACTCAGTCTCCTGAACCTGATCATGGATCTGCTGTGGATGCTGCTGCTGATGGTTCTGGTTCGTTCAGAGGCTGAGAAGGTGATGGAGGTCAGAGGAGAGCTGGGTCAAGATGTTACTTTGCACTGTTCCTTTAAATTTTATGACATCTTCTGGTTCATGGAGATCCACAACAAGATCAGAGCACAAATTGGACAAACTTTTTCCACATCACTTTCTGACTACAGCTCTCCTGACTTTAAAACTAAATATTCAATGATGGAAAACAGACTTGTGATTAGAAACGTCTCAGCAGAGGACAGCAGGCTTTACTTCTGTGTGAAGAAGACAAACAACACAATGGTTTACGGAGACACGATCCGTCTCATCTCAGGTAAATAGTACAGGCTTCTGTTTAAATTCTGGAAACCCAAAGATTCAGTTATTCTTTTCTCTCCTGTCTGATTTTAAATTGTTTACTGACAGGGTCATCAGGTTCAGGAAAGAAGACATTGGGCCACATGCAACAACATGTTTATATTCTTATCCTAAACTTCTCTTACTTTTGTTAATACAAAGGGTTTGTACGAACATGCCACGTCAAATTCAACAAACTCTTCAGGAAAAGTGTAAATGAGGAGAGTAAACTGATGAATGCGTATCAGGAAGTGTCCATTCATAAATGACATCGCAAAGTAAAAAAGAATAACTTTATGAGTTCAGAGATTGAAGTCTTGCTCTCAGAGATCCAGAAAAAAAATCTGTCATTTTTAGCGTCAGACCTGCTAAAGCCAAGGACTGAAATGACGACTGCTGATAATGTTGTGTCTCCCGTGCATCGTATACAGACACAGAAATAAAAATCTAAATCATATTCATCTCTCTACTCCAGCTCCAGTTTTTCTTTGGTCAAATGTTTTTAATTTAAGTGTAAACATCTGTGTTACATAGTTTTCATTTATTCAGAAGAYGAGCAGTCGCGCACCGCTACCCACATGATAAGACACACACTTGTTCTCTGTTTTAGCCTGAAGGCTGCAATGATCAGAAAGTGAAAATACAATACTGCATCTAACATTCAATTAATCATTTACAAAATTTATTTCAAGACTGTAAAAATATGTTTATAAGTGTTGCTGAAACATAAACTATTGTAGAATAGCTATGCCCTATGTACTAATAATTTGTTTGATTGGTCAAACATTTTGTTGTGGAATTATTTAGTTACTAAAACCCATTAAAATAAAAAGAAACAATGCTATTAACCAAAGGCAGAAGTCCTGGCACATACAGTAGGTGTCCCACATGTTCAGAAACATGTTCTGTCAATCATTCAAATTATAATCTGTTCTTTGGTCTTTGAGCAAAAGTTTCATAAAAACAGGAAGTTTCTCATTCTTGTGAACATCAGAGTAAATTATTTATAGAATATTCTGTGTTAGTTTCTTTTTATTTTCTGGCTTTTTATTTTCCAGATGTTCCAGTTGTCCCGGTAACTTCATCCTCCACCATCTCTCCCAGTAAAGTGTTAGAGGACGTTCCTGTCTGTGAAGCTCAGAGGTTGACCTTCTTCATCTATCGCTCAGTCCTCGTCATCTCTCTCCTGGTGTCTCTAACAGCAGGTCAGTGAGTTATTGAGCAGCTGATGAAGATGAAGGTCTGAAGGTGAACTGACTCAGCTGATGATCTGTTGGCAGGTTTGATTTTAACCTGGTGGAGAACAAAAAGAGTCCAAGAGGAAGAATCAGCAGCTGCTGAGAACAAAGATGCTGCAGACTGAAGGTAAAATTAATGACTGATAGTCAGACACACCTGCAGTCTGTAACTTTAACCTATTTATCCTGATCAGTTGTGTGTTTTAATCCAAACACTTCTCTGTCTCTAAACCTTTTATCTGTTTCAGTGTGAGGAGATCCACTCAGCAAACATCTGGAAAACATTTACTTTCATTTAAGAATGTAGTCTACACGTCCATATCACCTCACCTCATTTCGCCATGGTTGACCTTTGATCCCCTGAGGTCAAAACTCTCTTCTTTCAGGCTGAACTGTTTCAGCTCTCACCAGAGAGCTATCAAAAAAAAACAAGTCTTTTCACTCTCGTCTTTCCCCTGGGAAAGGATCTTGTTCTCAAGAAGTTATTTTGCTGATAAAACAAGTCAAAACAAACATTCTGTCTCTATTGCTGTTCTTTAAACACGTATAATTCAAATGCATAAACCTTTAAAATGTGTTGACTTTGTCTTTAATTTTAAGGGCTCTCTGGTTATTTTATAAATTTGCATTTGTTGTTAGTTTGTTGTTTAGAACTTGTTTTAGAAATTATGAGTTAGTATTAATAGAATATATCTTAATCAGTGCTTATATTTTTATCTTTTTACATATTCTGTTTTTAATAAGCATTACTTAGTCATTTTATTAGTTTAACAATGTTAATTAGTTTACTAATAATAGTTCATAAGTAATCATTTGTTAATTGAAATATTAGTTTAATGTTCTGAGTTGAGTTACTCTGCTCGTGAGTTTGTGTTGTTTTTGATGTTCAGCCTTGGGTATCCATACACACAAAGATCATACACACACACACACACACACA